GTGTCCCCCAAACCCATCCTAAGCCCCCTCTTCAAAGGCAGAGTCCAGTCCCCAAAACCCACCACTGGCTTCTGAAATCGAGTCCCCTTTATGGAAGGCGACAAACCATCGTGTTCAGGAGTGGCTGAGGGACATTTGATGCAAGCTCTGGGCCTTCTCTCCAGAAAGACTCACCTGCATGACACAGGCTCACTCACAAACGTGTTTGCACACAACTGTGCCTGTTCCCAGAGTCCTCACTCCGCCTGTAGGGATATGTGGGATGTGCTGGGGGAATGTGCTTACGATGGACCAGTCCTGGCCGTGCCTCCCCCGCCCCTCCTTGTCCCACAGCTTTGGGAGAAAGCAGAGGACTAGAACTCACACCCAGTCATTGCTTTTCAGGGGTGTGGGGGGAGGTTGAAGCCACCGGCCACAAGAGAGTCTTGGCTTGTCCGTCCATTTAAATTGCTTACGGTCCTTCCTGCCACGGTGTGGGTGGGCTGCCCAGACAGTGGGGAGTGGGCTCTGTCTGAAGATCGGTCCTGCTTCACACCGCTCAGGACACTGGCTCTCAGGGCCCGGGATGCTCCCCCTGACACTGAACTCCCTGGGAACAGCTTGGGAGGGAGGAGGCCGATGGTACGGTCACCTCCCTCCCACCAGCCACCTCGGGAAGTTCTATCTGTCCCAGGTGGGAAGCACGGCTGACCCTAATAGAGCTGCCTAATTGCTTGTTTAAATTAGACATGTGGAGTGTAATGACTCCTGGCTGGGACCAGAGAAAGCCGTCAGCTGTCTCCTGCAGGGACCAGACCCGCCGGACATACGTGGCCCCACGGGCTGCAGGAGCAGGGCATTCTCCCTGAGGCAGGGCTGGCCGGCTGGGGAGCCCATGAGTTGAGGGGCAAAGGCAGCTGACACCTCGCTCCTTCCCTTCCTTACTCTGCTGCTCCCGGGCCCAGGGTGATCCTGGGAAGCAGGAGGAGAGGACCCGAGACAGTTTCCCAGCTCTGCCACTGGCGCCCGAAGGGCAGCTCCTGGCACAGGTGGGCCTGGAGTGCGCACCCACACTGGCCTCCCAGCTGCAGGGGACAGAAAATGGGGCAAGTCCTAAGACTTTACAGGCCCAGGGGTGTGGCCATAAAGCCAGTAGGTTCACTGTTTACCCAGAGTTTGGAGGTCTGGGGACAGAGGCGCGAGGGAAATATTAGCTACAGGCCTGTTAATTACTACTGTTTTTATCATTATTACAGAGGAGAGTGTTCCCCACCCAGGCCTAGTGCCCAGAAGAACACGCACTGGCAAAGTACAGTCTCCCAATTCGCTCCCCTCCAAGCTGCTTCGCGTGGCCGGGCATGGTGCCTCTCTGCCTCTGCCAGGCTGCCCAACACACACACGCACACACACACACTTGTGCACAGGTACACACATTCACACTTGCTCATGCAGATACACACATGCTACACACACACACACACAGATACACACATGCTATACATGCACACGCATGCCGAGAGAGAGAGAGAGAGAGAGAGAGAGAGAGAGAGAGAGAGAAAGAGAATGGGATTGTTGCCCTTACTAGCTGTCTGGGCATGAGGCTTACCTTAGCCTCAGTTTCCTCATCTGCACAGTGGGCGTAATATGAGTTGTTATGAGGATGAAAAGAGGTAGTGAGTGGAATAAGCCCTTAATGAAATTAGCTATCTTTTGCATCTATTTTAGCTATACAAGGCATATGTCATTGCCCCCATTTTATTTGTTTTTATTTTTGTTTATCCAGTTGACAGCCCCATTTTAGAATGGAGGGGACTGGGCCCAAGAGGTGGGTCCCCAGCACAGGTCTGGGGCAGGCACCCTGCCTTCCTCCTGCCAGGCCGTGGCCGTGTGAGGCTCCGTGTTTGCAGAGTGGAGGCGCTTGGCCTGCTGCTGGCACCGCTCCAAGCCTGGGCTCTCCCCTCAGGCCACTGGCCCCTCGGGAGACAGGAGGCCCAGCTGGGCCAGGACTGCAGCCCTGGAGGACAGCACCTCTCCACAACTGCAGGGAGTGGGGGCTCCCTACACTTGCACACAAAGGAGGGACTCCCAACGGCTGGGTGGGGGCTCCCTGCACTTGCACACAAAGGAGGGACTCCCAAAGGCGGGAGCTGAGTCTCAGGGTCATGGAGCCCAAAGATGCTTCGCCAGCCGGAGGGTGGGAGCCTGGGGTGGCCTCCCATAGCCCGGCTCCGTTGAGGGCAGGTTAGGGGCTGGGTGGTTTCTTGGCAAGTCATGCCTTTTCGGTTTCACCCTCTCTCTTACCCAGGAAGTTCTCCCCCACACCCAGCCTCAGTGTCCTATGGCATGTCACCTGGTTTCCTGACCCTGGTCCTCAGAGGAGATGGACTTGGCTTCAGGCCCCAGCCAGACACTTGCCTGTGGCGGCCAGGAAGAGAGGCTGGGCCTTTGCGTGTGCTGGCCAGTCCTTGGGGCCTGGGTGTGACCTTTCACACGCACATGCTAGGCCTGGGGGGTTAGGAGTGAGGGTCAGGGAGAGCCCCCCGCCCCCCCAACCGCCCCCCTCTTGCCTGGCTGGGGACTGGAGTGGAAGCCATTCTCAGGATAAGATAAGAGAAGGTCACCAGCCATAGGAGGCCGGGCGCTGGTTTGAACCACGCCTCTGCTACAGACCCTTCCTTGGTCTCCGACAGTCACTGTAAGCCTCGGGGTCCCGATCTGTGATGAGAATGCCGCCTTCCTACTCCACGGGGGAGGAGGACTCAAGGAGGTCAGCACGGGAAGGCTGCGCTTGGTGCCAACGTAAAACGTGCTGCTGTGGGTGCTGAAGCGAGGGTTGGGGGCCTGGCTGGGATAATAACTCTGTGAACCCTGACACGTGGGATCAATGCTGGTGATTAGATCCCCAGACTGCTGCCTGCAGACAAGCCCAAGGCCTAACGCTTGGGCCGGGGAGCAGGCACTCACAGTGGGGCCCCTCCACACTCAGGGAATGCTTTCCTGGAGCAGGAGAGAGGCCAGGCAAAGTGGAGAAGAGAAAACCCCAGCACTTCCTCCTCTGTGCGCCCCGCTCCTCAGCTCCTGGAGGAACTGAGCTGCATAATACAATGGGATTTAATAAAATGCCTTTAACTCCCAAAGTTTGTCTGCTTGGACCTTGCAAAGGGAGACTCAGGGTGGCAATGGGGGCATTTGAGCAAAGCAGAGCTGGCCGACTGGTATGGCTGTGGCGGGTCCCAGGCCCAGCGCTGGGCACTCAGGACAGCCCTGTGGGGCCGGGGCAGCTATGTGTCTCATCTCCCCAGCCCAGGCTCTGAGAGGAGCAGCCTCCCTCCAGGGGCACGTCACAAATACACTGTCTGTGCCTGCCTCCACCGGGGAAGGAGGGACGCACTGGACCAGTCCGATTAGGAGTATGTGCTTTCACACGTGGAGGGTGGAGGGCAGAGGATTGCACTTTCTGGGTTTTTCCTTCAGATGCAGTGGCTCTCAGTCCAGGCTTCCCATTAAAACCATTTGGGGGATTTTTTCACCAACATTGTATGCAAATTTTCAAATATACAGCAACGTTGAAAGAATTTTACAGTGAGCAGCGATATGCCCACCATCTACCAGACCCACCATTAACCTTTTCCTAGAGTTGCGTTATCACATCTCTCCATCTGTCCCTCAATCCATCTTATTTTGGGTGCATTTCCAAGTAAATTGCAGACATCAGTACACGTCATTCTAAATTCTTCAGTATGCATAACTATGGACTTTAATTTTGTTTAACAGGGTTGTTGTTTTTTTTCTTTTGTTATAAAATTTACATACAAAGAAACCCTGGAGAGTTTTGTGTGTGTTTTAAATGCCAAGTCCCCAGAGATTGGCTGAATTGGTCTGGAGAGGGACAGGGGCAGCGATTCTCATTTTTATCACCCCCAAGCAAAACGTGGAACTCCCCCGGCCACGCCCTTTAAGCCCAGGCCCCTCCCACCAGGTGCTCTCCGTGCATGCCGCCCACCTCCAAGTGCACGCTTTGTTTGTTTACTGTGGCCCTCGGCGTCCAGGCACAGCCATTGTTCTCGTGTTCACATTATAGAGGGGGTCCTCGCGTCGTGTCCATTTCCCAACGGCAGAAACCATATCCGGGTGAGATGCCGTGCGTGTGGCAGCAATGAAGCCGTATACACTTTATTTGGCTTATCGGGGTGCTTGTGAGGACTCGGACTGTGGAGTGGATGGAAAAGACCATGATGCTAGTGGAGGGCATTCCGAGTTTTCGATGGCAGTGAGCACGGGGTCCTGGCGGTCACAGCTGAGGACAGCAGCAACAGTGGGTCTGGTGCTATTGATAGAGGTGATGGGCTGCAGGTGGGGTCGCCAGGTGATGCAGTGTGCAGGTGGTCATTGTGGTGACACAGCTGATGTAACCCTATGAGGGTGATGTGCAGGCAGGTGCTTATCCGCCCACTGATGCCCACCTGGGAAAGTGTTGGTTGTCACATGAACCGGAGGTTCGGTCTTCCCACCGGAGAACCCCAGGGTTGCAAGGCGCAGCTCCTTCCGAAATGCTGAGGCCACCCAAGAGCCTTCACCCTCCGGAGCCTGGAAGAGGCTGGACTGCGCCCTGCAGCCCACGCCCAGCCGCCCTGTTCCACTGCCAGGCCCGGCCCCAGGAAGGTTTATTTGGGATGAGCAGACCTGGGAGCCACCGGACTTGGGATGCCAGCCTTCTCGTGATCCATAGGGCTTTACTTGCTGCCTGTGTGGTTTCCTGTCCTTCCATACCAGGTACACTCTTGAGGGAGGACAGAGGGGAAGTGGCCCCTTCCTTAACCCAGGCGACAGGGGACAGAGCGATGCAAAGCCAGTGCTTAACTGGTATCCCTCTGAATTGTTCTGGGCTACTGGGCTAAGGAGGGAGGTCCAAGGATGAGGTTGGGCTGCTAAGACTTTTTTTAGTATATAAATAAGCCCAGAGAATGATGCTGAAAAACACCTTTAAAATAATGTTGCCCAACCCTTTTGTTTTACAGATGAGAAAACCTGGGCCACGTGGGCAGCAAATAAAATCCCTGTTGAGAACAACAATAAAATACCCTCGTGTCCATATATCTCTAAAGATGCGAAGACACCCCACGCCTGTGGTCTGACTGGAGCTTAGACCAGCCCTACGAGCTGCCGGGAGCTTCCTGCCCGTCTGACAATGGCTCCCGAGTCCCTCCCAGATTCTTCCTACTAGCAACGAGCCAGGTGATATTTTGTGGCACGTGCAGCTCATCGTACATATTTCACACTCGTGCTTTCATGTATCTGTGCCGCATCTCTGTGCAAAAACTTCTGTCCCCACTTCTCGGAGGAGAAAACGGAGGCCCCTGGAGGTTAAGCATCTTGCCCAGCTGGCACAGCTTCACTGTGCAGCGTGGAACTCGAACCCAGGATCCCTGTGTTCATGTCCTAGGGTTGCCATACACAAAGCACTACAAGCCACGAGGCTTAAATACCGGAAATCTGTTGTCTCACAGCTCTGAGGTCAGAAGTCTGGAGTCGGGGCGTCCATCAGACCAGGCTCCCTCTGAAAGCTGTAGGGGAGACTCCCTCCTGGCCACTCCCAGCTTCTGGGGGGGTCTCCCCTCAGCTTGCAGCTGCAGCCCTCCCATCTCCGTCTCTATCCCCACATGATTCTCCCGGTGCCTGTGTGTCTGCATCCAAGCTTCCCTCCTTTTACACGGACGCCCGCCATTGGGTTAGGGCAGTGGTTCTCCACCTTCTGGCCCTTTAAATACAGCTCCTCATGTTGTGACCCAACCATAAAATTATTTTTGTTGCTACTTCATATCTGTAATGTTGCTACTGTTATGAATCATCATGTAAATATCTGATATGCAGGATGGTCTTAGGTGACCCCTGTGAAAGGGTCGTTCGACCGCCAAAGGGGTCGCGACCCACAGGTTGAGAACCGCTGGGCAAGGGCCACCGCAATCCAGTATGATCTCATCTTAACTTGATCCCATCTGCAAAGACCCCATTTCCAAATGAAGGTCACATTCACATGTACTGGGAGTTAGGGCTTCAATATATTTTCGGGGGAGGGGTCACAGGTCAACCATACCCTCCCTGCCCCAAGCCAGTGGCCTTCCACACGTGCAGTTTGCATCCTGTGCCCCATCCCGTCCATTTCCTCCTCCCCGTCTCTCTCCACCGAGGACGAGGCACTCCCCTCTCCTGCAAGACAGGGAGCTGGGAGCACTTTTCATCTTCTGCTTCCCAAGTTACCAAGATGCTAAGGTAGAATCATGAAATACGGCTGGGCCTTTTGTCCTCTCTATTCCCAGACAGTAAAAATCATTAAGGCTTGCTCTTAATTAGTTTAATTTCGAGACTTCTCAATATTGATTTAACCTCCACTCCTTTGTACTTGCTGCAGGCACTGAATTAGGCCTGTTATTGATCGTGGATGGAAGCGTTTCCAGCCACCAGACTCGGGGGCGCTGGGAGCCGCGGGTCCCCCACCCCACCCCCCGGGGCGGGGTGGGGGGTGCTGGGCTCAGGAGGCGGGGACCAACTTGGAGAGAGGGAGCCTCTAGGCCAGATTGGGAGGGCCCTCCCCCGAGGAAGGGCTCGGCTTAGGCCAGGGGCCAGTCTCTTTCTCTTGGGTTGGCCCAGGCTCAGGGAGTTTGAATGAGAAGTCAGCTGGCAGTCTCCCAGGACCATCCCAGGCCTGAGGAGAGCT